TGTGTGTGTGTGTGTGTGTGTGTGTGTGTGTGTGTGTGTGTATAATATATATATATATATATATATATATTTATATTTGTGTGTGTATATATATATACTATAAGGCAATACTTTAACCTTGCAACGGTCATCCGGGTGCGAGTTGTACAATTAGTTATAACGATAAATAAGACCTTTAAGCAAACGTTTTTATTCTGACAATCGACATATATGGACAACGCGATATTTGTACAACCATTGATTGATAATTAACACAGGCATACAAATTTGCAATTGATCAAATAATTTGACATATCATCAATACCAGCATACACTAGAACACGCTCATAAGACCCCTTACTAAGGATGGCTATACTAAAGAACAGTCCACTACACTTACACCCAAGTAAGTCCACCGGGAATTAATTCACACTTAATTATTCTAGGGAACTAGTTCCCACTCAATTAATTCAGGCCAATTCGCACTTACGCATTGCTTCGAATTAATTCACACACTCAAAATAATCCGAATTTCTTTATACTAATATAATACCTTGAAATTAGTCACACTTATAGCATAGCCCAAACTCGTGCATTGTCTCTAACTAATCCACACTCAAATCAAACTCCAAATTAGTTTAAATCAGTTCACATTACCTCGGACTAGTTCGCGCTGATGAGCTCGGAGCACCTGCGACACAACGGCTTCTACGGTCTGCAGTGAAACATGGAATGATTTCTGCTTTTAAATTTTTGATTTTTAATTTTTAATTTTTAATTGTTTGAAATGGAATTAAACATATTTTCAAATTTGAAACTTAAAGCACGAGTGGTGAGTGTACGAGTGCGTACGACAACGCATGCCACAGCCCACCACGTTGTATTCACGCGCAGAGAAAAGTATACTACCGCGTACGACAGAAGAGAAAGTATACGACTCACCTGTAAGTCACTGTTGGTGCGGATGCGCATGCCATTGGCGTACACATGTAGCTCATCCGACGCAAGGTTCGCATTTGCGACAAAATTGTCGGATATTTCACGGATTGTGTCGTATTTGTCGTTTTTAAGGATATTGTCAATGTCCGCAGAAGAATCAACCTGTGAGGGGAATCTGATTGTCAGAAATCGATATAGACACGCACTATATGTAACAACGGCAAACAAATGCGCAAGTTGATATACAAAAACGTATGTCTATATATACGGTTTAATATATATATACATACGTCTACATATACATATATACAAGACATACGTATGCATATA